GGGGGGGGGCGTTCTGCGCATTCCGTGGGCGACGCGCTGGTGAGCGATTGGCGCGGGATGAAGGCGTTGGTGGTCCTCACTTTTCCTTTGTATTAAAGGTGGGTTAATGAATGGGACTTCCTCTCAACTATTGATTTGAAGGCAACATCTGGCGAGGCCTAAACAGGAAAAATGGCATATGTTTCTTCTGTTTGCTTTCGGGGAAGCAGTATCTAGACTATTCTTAGTCATTTCGATATTTTTCTGGCGTGTGGTTTTACGCCAGTTTCTAATTCTCATGGAAGAAATAACTGAGGAGCAGGTGTTTAAAAGAGTGATTGGCAAGAGAAATGAAGGGCTTCTATTCTGTTACCTGTCATTGGAATTTGTCAGAGCCACCACGTGCTATGAAAAAACAAAACGCGTCTTTTAAAAAAAAAAATGGGTTGGTGTAGGCTTCTCTCAGCGGTAAATACGAGCTGTCCTGGTGTCATGACTGGAATATATATTGTGGTCGAAGCAGATTCTCTGGAGATGGTTAATGCTTATAGGAGAAGCGACGATTTCAGATCAATAATAAGGGTGTTTGTCGACTTTTTTTTTTTTGGAGGGGGCTTGAGTGGTTTTTGAATGTACGTACGCAAAGATTCTTTCATCCACCGTCCAACCACTTTTTTTGGGGGGGATTGACACTACAGCATACTTGTTGTATGCCATATAAGCTTTCCTTGTGCGTTTGATTGTACCTGTTGGTATTATTCCCCGAAGCATCTGGCAGACGGAGTTTGTTTCCGGGATTCGTGTATTTCTTCATAGGCAAGGACACCCATCAGAAGTAAGTTGCCAATGTCGCCGCCTGGTGTGTTTTGTAGCATGGAGCTCCTTGCAGTAGACTGTACAGCTTCTAGAGTTGCTTTGTCTCACTGGAAGGGTTGATTGCCTTCTTGTCCCGAAGGAAATGAATAATATACTGTGTTTTGCGTATCTGTTATTTGCGCAAAGAGGGACCCTCAGGTCGGTGCACATTTGTTTTATCTGATGTTCATCATTTTAGCCGTTCGTTCCTAGCGGACTAAGAGGCAAGGATAGCCATATGCCAGTGTGTAACTCGATATTGAAAATATGGACGTGCTACCACTTGTGGTGGTACTTTATTGGGATGATGGCAACTCCCCACGTCCGCGAGGAGACTGGATGAAGTTTATGTGTGTGTTATTTTACTAAAGTGAGACTCCTTTACCATTCTAGTTCACACCAATAAAAAGTGTTAAAGAAGAAAAAAACAACTGGATTCACTTATCTGTTTTACTCCATTGACTAGCACTGAGCGCTCTTGTGCTGCTAATCTCTTTGAAAGAGGCACTGATCCTGCTAACGCCGAACTATTTCTCTTCTGTTGTCCACTGAAATGAGCCAGCACTATGGCTGTGTTGTAACTGCTGCATGGTGTCTGACATTCCTTGGTAAAATCAGGATGATTTTGTCTGTTGAATGTGTCTTTTACGTTTTTTTTGTCCTATCATCAGTTGATGGAGGGTGTTTATTCTATATCGATGGATGTAACAACGATTCGCAGTATAGTATTGTATTTTTGTCCCTGTTAATGTTTGGTACACTTAATTAAGTGTGCGTACAATGTTGGTTTCAAGGTTGGTGTGGTATTTGATCTTTTGTCACGACTTCGCTTTCGGGTCATTCAGTCATCCCGTTAATTCCAATTAAACGGCCCTGTATGGATGTTCAATGTATTATTGTGTTCATGTTTTTTTCTAATTTTGTTATTATTATTTATTGGTAGGACCTTAGATGTGTCGTGTTGTTGTCATATCGAGAGGATGTTGCTGCTGGCTTCATGTTTTTTTTCTGCTTCGTTTACGGCACTCGTCTTCTTAGGGGTAGTGTCTATCAGCAATGGGTAGCCACGGTAGTAAAAACAGTAGTCAACCCAATGCTCCAAGAGTTGTCATCACATCTTCAGACAGAGCCAAGTTAGAGCTCAAGTTGCAGCGTGATAAACTCACGGTAGCGATGAGGAGGTGTGAGAGTACTGCCAAGGAGGAGCGCATCAAAGCTGCTGAATTTCTGCGTTCTGGAAATCGCCGAAAAGCACTGTATTGCCTGAGGCGAGAACAGTTCCAGCGGACACAACTTGCAAATGTTACAGACATGCTTGATAATATCCAAAAGCTGCTCGATACGGTTGAATTTAGTCAAATTGAGGTGGAGGTGTTCGATGCTCTAAAGAGCGGCAAGGAAGAGCTCTCAAGGTTGAATTCAATGCTTAATGTTGATGACATCGCAGAGTTGATGAATGACACGGCAGAAACGGTGGAGGAGGCGCGTCGCATCAATGAAGTTTTGGCGCGGCCGCTTGACGGGTTTGACGATGAGAGTCTCCTTGAAGAGTTAATGTCTCATGAAAACATGGAGGTTGATAAAATAGGAACCGATCTGAATGAGTTGAGCATTCCAAACCACAAACTTCCAGAGAGAGTTAAACCGGAGGAACGTGTTAGTGGTGATGGGCCGCGGGAATCGATGCTCCCGGCCTAGTTTGATGGGAGTGGGAAAATTATAGTTTTTTGACATGGGTAGCGTGAAGACACGGGGGCGTGCTCCACCACCTGGAACACCCGATAGATTGGCGTAGAATCCAGAGGGATCAAAAGAAAGGGATAGGTAGTTGTATTGACTTGCCAACTTGTTTTGTATCCCGCTCGCAATATACATATATATGCTGTTCACGTTGTGTGTCTGGCACTATTTTTTCTTGATATTAAGAGGTTCAACGTTTTTTTTGTCACAAACACTTGGTTTGTTATTATTATTACTGTGTCTATTTTGCTGTGTATCCAACTGGAGTGGTCTCTCTATAGTAACTCAAAGCGATAGGTACAGACTTAAAAATGATGCTTGGACGCATTGCTTTCATCGCGTCCTGTGCAACGGTATTCACAGGAACTGCGTATGTCGTTGGCGTAGCCCTTAGTCCTCCTCCATCTTATACCGTAAGTAATCAGCAGCGTCTCCAGCAGTACAACACTCTAGCACATGGTAGCACCTACGAGAAAAAGACACGCGGGCAGGAATTTTACTTGGGTATCAGCCGCTGGAGGCGAAGGCTTCTGCGGGAAGAAGGCTTAGTGCGTGGCCGTGTCTTAGAGGTGGGTGCGGGATGTGGTGGTATTACGTCGTACTACGATGCGGTGCTGCAGCCTCAATCCGCCACTACCCACAAGGCTCTGGGAGAAGAGAAGAAGGCAGATGTAGTAAACAGTGCCGATACGGTGGAGGTGATATTGAGTGATCGCTCCCCTGGAATGGTGGAAGCAGCAGCTCAGCAGATTCAACAACGCTACGGTTACTCTCCATATCGTTACCCCGACTACGACGTCACGGGCATTCTCGATGCGGTAAAAGGGTATCGTGAAAAAGAAGGCACGAGCTCGATTGGTTCCACACTGGGACATCATGATGGGGAGCCGCAGCGCACCATAAGAAGCGGTGTCGTAAAGCGGAAGGTAGTTCACTCTGATGGTAGCATTATGGAGGTGTCGTCTACACCGCTTGTCGATGATGAAGGCTACGCTATCGCGGGAGAAACAGTGGCCCCCATATTGCAGGGTACCCTCCCTGGAAACATGCTACCGCTCCTTTCTAAGGAAGGTCGGGCGGAACTCCAGCGACGCAACGCGGAGAAGGAGACGGCGCAACAGCTAAAGGATGGGGAACAAGCAAATAGGCAAATGTTTGCTGTGGCAAATTACGCAGCTGAACAACTCCCCTTCGAGAACGATACGTTCGATACAGTCGTGGATATGTTCGGTCTCTGCAGTTTTGATGACCCTGTACGTGCGCTGAGGGAGATGTCGCGTGTTTGCAAGCCGAGTGGGCATCTTCTTCTGCTTGAGCACGGCAAAGGGCGATGGTCACGCTTGAACGATTATCTAGATAAGTGGGCGCCGCGCCACGCAAAGATGTGGGGATGTTGGTGGAACCGTGATATACGACGGTACATGCGCCTCGCGGGTCTGACCGTTCTTAAAACAGAAGAAAAGCACTTTGGGACATCACAGTACATCGTGGCGAGGCCGTTCAAAACGATGGATGAATGGGAAGCATATAATTCCAAGAGCATGAGGGAATAATTGGGGTTTTGCTAATTTCAGCGTCTCCCCACCTGTGTTTCTCACTCATGGGAAAGGATTGGTGAAATTGTGGTGCGAACCGGGCGAAATGACGCCAAATAGTTCTTCTGAAACTTCACAGAAAAAAAGGAGTGCTGATTGCATGCAGTTCTCATCGATATACCATCTGGGGGTGGGGGGACAGTACAGGGCTGATTTAATGGATGTATTTTTTTTTCTTTGTAGTCATCTCACTCCTTTTATTCTTCCTCTGGTGTTGTTGTTTTTTTCTACTGCTCTGCTGTTGTGATGTGAAAAGGAATTTTTGTGGCATATATATATTTATATATATATATATATATATAAATCATTTCTGAAGGCATTAGGGGTGGGGCAAATATGGCGATTGTATATCCAACGATAGGGGATCAAGAGGTACTCGTTGGGTTCGCGACGCGTCGCGCCGGCTGCACTAGCGAAGATGTGGAACTACTCAGCTCCACCTGTACTGCTCTTATTGCGGACGTCCAAACCATCAATAACTTTATTGTGCAACTGACACCCTCTTCACAGAGCAATGTGTCACGGCCGTCATTTGGGCCAGACTCTGGAGGGCTACCTATAAGCTACCTCCATGGCGGTGGTATGTCAGTGGTTCCTGGGTCGCATTCAACATGTACTGCGGTGGGGAGTGACCCGCTGCGTGATGTGAAGGCCCAATTTCGCCCCCATGAAGCGATGATGCGGTTTGTGCGGCACCGACTGCGGCGAGGGAAGGCTTCGTTGACTAGCATAAATGAGAAGTACGACTACGTTTTCACGGTGGTGACGCTTGGAAAAGGGGGAAGGATGGGAAGTGTAAAAGGTGAAGCGGTGACGCCTGGTAGAAGCACAAATATTGATGGTCAGGATGCAAACTCTTCAACAAGATTACTAACCACAGGCGAACAGCACCACGAAGAGGGTGCTTCGGTAAAGAATGGCGGTGAGGAAAGTGCTGCGGATACGCGCCGGGTGCGTATGGCCTACACAAAATTTTTGCAGGCATTTGATGTCCTCCTCGTGTGGGTGTCGGACATTGTGGGTATACTCGACGGGGAGGGTGCCGTTCCGTCGGCAGGTCAATATGTTCTGCAAGAAATTCCAGAAGAGGGAGGTGAGGGGGCAATTAGCAGACGTATAGGTCCTCTGAATGAAGGCACTGGAGCATTGGTACCTCACGTCTCTGATGCCGTGCCCATACTGCAATCACCGCCCCAGGAGTCGAGCAACTCGTCTGAGCCACTTTCATCTGTTCAAAGAGATTCTGGCACACCAATGCGACGCAGCACGCGGACGATTCGTGTGACACGCTATGAGTTGCACGATGTCACGAGTGTCTTTCGCGCTCTCCAGGACCAGGCGAATCTTTTTTACTTGCAGGAATATACATTCTTTGACCCACGAGTGCAGCGCCGTTTGCTTATTCCAGCCTATTATCGGGCGCTGCGAGAAACTGTTCGTGACATCAACGCTGAGGTTGAGCGCCTACAGCAGCTTGAGGTGTCGTTGACCCGAAGAAGTTCAGATGGCATGAGCGCTGTCTTTCGCCCTACAATCCGTGAGTTCTGCTACCTTCGGGATTCCCTCCGTCTGTATTGGAGCTCATGCGTCACTGAGGATGACACCACATCTTTACAATATCATCGCATGCATTACAACAAGTACGTTCTCGAGGCCGGAGAGGTAGTGGAAATGTTGAAAAATATGCGCCGCCCGCCGTCGCGAGAGGTGGCCTCGGATGTTCTGTGGGTGCTCTCGCCAGAGGAACGTGCTGCACTGGAGGCTGGGTTTGAGAGTTTTTGGCGCCTTCGTGAACGTGTGCTTGAACTGCGCGACTCGCTCACCAATGACATTGCGGAAAAAAACCGCACACATCGCTACCGCATGCCTGCGCCGCCATCGCCCACCACAACGTCTCGGAACGGAGATAAAGGTAGTGGTGTTGGTGGCGTTGCCCAATGGGCCCTCTCTGTCATGCGTTCATGGGCTCAAAGCGTAACGTGCAACGCAGAGGTCGCTGACGATCTGTTGTCGATGAAGCGCGAGGACGAGGGGTTCTTTCTATCCACTACTTCTCCGCTGTATGAGTCTAAGAAAGAGCTGCTTTGCCTCGTGCAGCGTTTGGTAGCGGCAGTGGAGGCGCAGGCGACGCTGCTGGAGAAAGAGTATCCTGACACATTTTTCAGGGACTCGAAGGCGATGTGGGCACGGCGAGCCAAAGGAGCGATGCGCTATATGGAATCGATTAGTGTTGTCTTCTCACCCCCGGTGTGATTTTTTTGTTTCCTCCGTCACTTCCCTGTGTCATCCTGTGGTGAAAGATGACAACCACTCAAACACGGATTGCTATTTATTTATCTGTTTCTGTTTCTGTTTCTACTTTGTGTGTGTGTGTGTGGGTGTGTGTATGTGTGTGTTTATGCTTATTTGGTGGCATTTCACAGCGGCTTTGTGCCCCTCTTTTTCTATATTGCTGTTTTTTTCTTTGCAATTTCTCACATAAGCTTTCCCATGCACATTCGATCTTGTGTCTCATCTCCCATTTATTTCTCGCTCACAAATGCACACGTGCACCATTTCAATACAGAATGAGACGCATATAGTGGAGACATATAGTCTGATCTTTCCATTCCTTTTTAAGCGGCATGAAAGTTTCCGCGGCTCGATGGAGCGACAACGGTGCGCACACGCGTGGCATGCCTTTGCCGCCGTCGGATAGTGCGTACCCTCCCCTTGCCGAGCGAGTGTTTCTCCTCTTCAACGGGGCATCTGCCAACGCAGATTTTGACATTGTGCTGGTGCACGGGCTTGGAAGCGGGGAATTTAAGTGCTGGACAAATGAGCGTGGCCTCCTGTGGCCAGCGGTGTTTATCCCGCAGGAGTTCCCACAGTGTCGCATTCTCTCTGCTGGATACGCCCACACTCTGTGGCAGTGGTCATCATCGGTGCGAACGGCGAAAAAGAAATCAGAGGAATCGGATCAGGAAGAGGATGGCGAATGGACCACGGGCTCTATCCGGCGGTGGGTTTCGGGGACCTGGCTCGGTGGCAGTGATCCTTCTGCAGAAGCCAGGGCATGCAAAGGCGGCAGCACCGAAAGTGCTTTGAAAGGTGGCGCAGGGCCACCCCATTCGGTCTCGTTGAAAAACGAGAGAGAACAAGAAACATTGGAGCGCTGTGCCGCGGATCTTGCGGATCGTCTCCTCTCTGACGCGGTGGGTGTCGGTAAGCGGCCTGTCGTTTTTATTGTGCACTCGTTGGGTGGCTTGGTGGTCAAGCAGATGATTATCTCCGCCTCATTGGCAGTGGCTATGCGTAAAGGGGGGGAGGAGAGTGAAAGGGACAACGTACGTACCATGCAAGCGGAGTTACTGCTGCGTTCGCTTCGGGGTGTAGTTTTCTACTCCACACCGCATTTTGGGGCGCCTATTGCGAGTATTGTGACGGGTCTGAAGAGGTACTACCAGAGTTTTGGTGGCATCGTTCCCTCCCATGTACTTTCCACTCTCGGCGACCACAACAGGGAGTGGCTGGTCAGTCTGAACGAAGAGTTTCTCCATGTGATTGAGCGCTGCGGCGGTGGTGGGGGCGGGGGCGTGCGCATTCTTTCCTTTGGTGAGATGAGGCGTTTGAACGGTGTTCTCCGCGTTGTGGAGCCTGAGTCGGCCAACCCCGCACCGGATGATCCACGCTATCCTTTCTACGTTCTCGACGATGACCACTACGGGGTGAACCGTCCCGTGTCGAAGGAACAGCCAAGTTACACAATTTTGTTCGGATTTCTCGAGCGAATGCGCCGCAGTGGGTTGCTTGGGTCCAACGTAGTGAAGAGTGCGGATAGTGTTTTACCAGAGAAGACAGAAGTGTGGCGCCATGAAACAGTTGACGGTAGCAACGATGCTCTCCAGGAAGACGCATTGTTTGTTAATGATGCTTTTGTTGCTGGGGGCGGTAACAGTGCCGTGGACCTCGACGCACGCATGCTTATGGTGACGCTTGAGAAATCAATGCAGCAGCTGCGCATACAGTGTACTGTTCTATTTGGGTGCATAGTCCCCATACAATTTGAAAAGCTTCTGGCGTTGGCAGGGGATGTGCTCAACTACACCACAACGTGTCCATCGTTCACTTTGCAGCCGCTGGCTGAAAGGCGAATCGATACATCCCTCCTTCTAACGCCACTGCGTCTGCTTGTGTACTGGATGGAGCGGAGTGTCACCACATTGAAAACCGTCGTTGTTTGTCAGGCGGAACGAGCTACCCGCCGTGGTCATTTGACTGCTGTGGAGAGCCGCTCACTGGGTGACATCGATAGCGGTGTGGCGTCACTGCGGCATGAGTGGGAGTGGTTCCACTGTCACCTCTGCCAGATCGGTCCTACACCTGAGAATCATCCACCCGTGCTTTTCTTTTCCCAGTCCATTACGCTCGCCGTCGTGGATGCCATGGCCGACGACTGTGGGGGACTCGTCGGGCTGGCCATGCGATGTGTACCCGAGGCCTGCGGTTGGCGTCGTGATGCGGCCATACCGTGGAGTGCACAGAACAGACACACAATGACAGAATTCCCGTCGTCCGTGTCTGTGGTGGCTTCGCTCCTCACAGGGTGGTTTTGCTTAGGCGTGACACGACAGTACAGCTCTGCTGCAAACGCGTTCCGCAGCCTCATTCGCGATGTTGAAGTGCTGAGGAGGGAACAGTGCGACGGACCACCACCGACCAGCACTTCACAGACGAGCTCCATTACACAAGAAATGACCTTCACACCGTGGTGGAGTGGGAAACAGACGGGCGACAAGACAGAGACGCCTGTCATCAAGCAAGAGGCCGTACTTCTGCATGCATTGGCATTGCTCGCGCATGTCGGTTTGTGTGAGAGCTATATATCTCTCTCCCGACGTGCCGTGATACTGGATCGGCATCCACATCATCAAGAAAAAGAACAGCAACAGCAGCAGCTGCAAGGGCTGCTTCGTCAATCAGTGATTGAAGGGCGTCATCGCTACAGTATGCTGGAGCGCTACCTTCATATCGACAGCATCACGGACCGTCCCTTTGTCTTCACGAAAAGTGGTGTGGCGCCGACAATACGCAAGGAAGAGAAAGAAGACCCTTATCGTACGGAAGCAGAAGGACAGCGAGTGCGGTCGCCTGTCCGCATCGCTGCCATATCAAAGGGGGCCACTCTTCGACGCAGTCTCTCCTTCGTTTGGGATGATGTGCGACAAGGGGAGAGCAGCAAGGAGGCGGCAGTTCGCTTTGTAAGTAGTGTATTGGTTTTCTGGTGGGTCATCGAGAAGCGGGCGGACTTTCATGGGCCTCTGAACAGTACGCCGACATCAGGAGTCAGTGGGATGCACAATGTAAGTGAACTGGAAGGCCCCACGCGGTGGGTTTGGGACCACGCACATGCGCGAATGAAGAGCCAATGGTTCACATGGCAGTTTCTCTTACGTGGTAACGCAAAATCAAAGAGTGAAGTCGACGTAGGACAGCATCATCTATTAAATGAGGCACTGCAACTTTGTACACACAACTCTCTCGCGCGATGTTTGAATGGCCAACAGTTGCTTCAGGGCGGGCACCTGGCAGATGCTGCAGATGCTTTCCTTGGTGTATTGGAGTCCACACGGTGCGTCACCAACCCGCTGTATCGTGCTGCTGCCATGGGACTTGGTTGGACACACCTGCACTCCCACCACTGTGGTCTTTCCGGAGGAACTGGCATTGATGCTCTGGCCCTTCGCGGTTCCCCGCCTGGGTTATGGGAGTGGTGCCGATGGGAGAGCAGCGCGTCGCACGGCCGAGGGCGTGGCGCTGCTACAACTAATGCCACTGTTACCGTTGCAGCTGTTCCTGGTGGCGGTGGTGATACTAACAATAGTGTGGATGCCCCACGTCACTTAGAAAGAGCATCCGCACTATTTGAAGCAGTGCTTTCCTACGATCCCAGTGACAAAGGGGCGTTGTGTGGTATGGGTCGTGTAAAGATGTTAACGACGTCTACATCGTGTAGCGGCCTAGGCTATCTCGGCTCCTGCCGCCATTTCCTCGCCGTGCTGCAGGCGACAGAATCACATTCGGTGTATCCACGAGGGCACAAGGGCGGCATCTTACCCCTCGACAATCAGCAATGGGAGTCCCGTGCCGCGTACTGGTTGGGGGAGATGTCTCGTTACGGCCTTGGTACCGACCCTGAAACAGCTGCGGCGAAACTGGGATGTGACAGCGTTGCCAGGCAATGGTGGGAGTACGCGGCGGTGCGGTGCCCAGAGAATGATTGGGCCCTCACATCGTTGGGCCTTCTTTACGCGAAGGGGCAACAACAACAACACCATCATCATCATCATCAGCAGCAGCAGCAGAAGCCGCCGCTGCGGGATCGCTTCAACGCCAGAACAATTGCACAACAAGAAAAGGGCGTGGAGCTCTTGCAGCGTTCTTTGTCTTTGAATTCGAAGAACGCATGGACGCTTTGGGGCCTAGCCCGGCTCTCACCCGATACGGCACAGCGTCGCACGTGTCGTATGATGTTGAGAAAGTTACTGTTAAACTGAGAACTGATTGTCAGGAATGGAACATGCTGCTGTGGAACGGAACCGAGGGAAATACAATACCGAGGCCACAAATACCAACCAATTGCTATGCTTTTGTATACGATATGCATTTGCTCCTGTGTTTTTCTTTTTTTTTTTCTTTTTTGGCTGGTGCTTCCTCTACCCCATCAAAACCAGCAGAAATCTACCGCATTGCGGTGCGACTCCCCCTATGGATCTGTATCACTTTTCCGAATGTCGTGTAAATGCTTCTTTGGATATTTTCTCCTCTTGTGAAAACCCACACACACAAACGCATATACGTGCATACACAAACACAAGAAGAGAGGAGGCACTTCCTCACAAGAATAGTCTGCACCGAATCACGAGGAAAACAAAAAGCGGGCAAAATATAGCGTTATAGAAAGCTGGAGACCGAAAAGGAGGGGAGGGGAGGGAGGCAAGAGACATGTCCGTGAACACCAGCGCGATTGCCGGCAGCAGCTCCGGCCTCCAGAACTCCTCCTGCCAAGACGGTTCCTATGCACTTCTCGGTGTCGACGACAAGGTCTGCACTCGCGCCGCGCCGCCACCGCCGTCGCCGTCGCCTCCAATAAATGGGGGCGGCGTACTAGCAACACCAGTAGAAGCAGCAGCATTATCAGTACCAACGCAAACAGTAGGAGGGGTGGAAGAAACGGCGTTGGAAGAGCCGCACACACTTCGTCGTTCCGCCGCGCAGCTTTCCCGAGGGGGGGACGTGTCGTCGTGCACCTCTCACTATCACAACTCGCCTGCCAACTACAACTATAACCACCACACAACTAACCGCAGCCCATTGTCGGTTTCAGGGGGGAATGAAGGCGCATTAATGCGGCACGCTGAACTTCGGGAGATGCTCGTTACCGCAGAGCGGGAGCTGGCCGAAATGCGCGAGGAGTGCGCGCGACGAGGTGCAGAGATCGATACCCTCCGTGCGGCACTCGCACGTGAGCGGGACGTCAACCAACACGCGCAGGGACGCTACGATGACGCACTGCAGGAACTGCGCGAAGAGCACGCAGAGCAGACGCAGCGCCTGATGGAGCAGATCACCGTTCTGAAGCGGCTCTCTGAGAGCCTAATGGAAGAGAAATCAGCGATGGCGAACGAGGCGACACAGCGCAAGCAGCAGCTACTCGCCCTGCTCGAGCGGGAGCGCGACGAGAAGAGCCAAATTATGGCCGACTACCGGAAGCAGACGGAGGCGCTCATCGCAGAGGAGGGGCGCGAGATTACGGCTCTGCGTAACGCGTTGCAGTCCGGCCGTGAGGAGCGGGAGCGGCTCCTCAGCGAGCGCCAAAGCCTCGAGGAGAAGACACAGACACTAGAAGAGAAGGTGACGCAGCTCGAGCAGAGTCTCGCGAAGGAGCGCACCGATGTAGAGAAGCGGTTGCAGGAAGTGGGCCAACGCCACGCGCGGCGTGTTGATGAGTTGGCGGCGCAGAACGAGGAGCTTGCCGCCCGCATGGCGCAGGCGGCCACGACGCAGCAGGAGCGGCGGCAGGAGTTGGAGGATCAGGTACGCAGCTTGGGCGAGCGGTTGCGGCTGCAAGAAGAGTCATACGCGATGGAGCACCAAACTCTAAAGGAAACATATCGGCGGGAATCGGAGGGGCTTCGTGAGGAGCTGCGGACGGCGAATGAGCAGCGCGAACAGCTGCTGGAGCAGCACGAGAAGGCCCGACAAAAGTTGCTGAAGAATGAGGAGAAGCTCACCCAATCACTGCGCAACACAGTGGAGCAGCTGCGACAGGAAAAAGAGGCGGTAGTGGAGGAAGCAGCGCATCAACGAGAGGAGTTGCAGGAAAAGCACTGGGCAAAGGTGAATCAGCTGCAAAACACCATCGAGAGCCTGCGACGGCAGATCGCCGATGAGAGTACCGCGCGCAAAGATGCGGAGTCGGAGCGTGACCTCGTCGTCGTGCGCGCGGATGGCCTGCAGGGTGCCGTCAACCGCCTGACGAACGAGCTGGAGGCGCTGCAGGTCGAGCACCGCGCACGTGAGCGGGCAGCAGGACAGGAGCGGCAAAACACCATTGAACAGCTCCGCGCACAGCTGCATGACTGCACTTCTGAAGTGGAGGCGCTGCAGCAGGAAATCCTGCAACGGGACTTGGAGGTGCAGCGACTCCGCGATGAGGTGGGGACCAAGACACAGGCGCTACAAACTACACGGACAGAGAGCAAGCGACTGCTCGATGAGATGCAGCAAGCCGCTGATGCGCGCGAACGCGAGGCCACGGAGCTCACCGCCGCCCTCGAGCAAAATGCCACGCTGTGCCGCACACAGAAGACACAGGTAGAGGCAGAATGCCAGCGGCTGCAACGCAGCCTCGCAGAGGCAGCGGCACGGCAGCAGGCATGTGAGCGGCAGCTAGAGGAGGAGCGCCGCGTCCTCGAGACGGCAGCAGCGAGCGCGCAGGACGCACGTGACACGGCGGAAGCTCACAAAACGGCACTCCGCCGCGCGCAGACCCGGCAGCAAGAACTCGAGGAAGAGCTACAGCATAAATGCGGCGACCTCGCAGCAGCAGCAGAGCGTACTACCGAACTCGAAGCATCGCTTGAGGCGGCCAGAGCGGAGGCGGTGCAGCAGGCGAAGGAGGCGGCACGTGCCGCAGCCGCACATGAGGCGGTCGTGCAGTCACTGCAGCAGCGGCAGGAAGCAGAGTTGGCGGCGCTGCGCCTCGCGGCGGAACAGATGCGCGGTGACGTTGCAAAGGCACGTGAGGTGGCAGCAGCGAAGGACGGAGAGCTGCATCGCCTTCGAGAGGAGGTGAATCAGCTCCACCGCGATGCGGCGATGCGGGCGGGGTCGTGGCAGGACGAACTCGCCGAGTCGCGCGAGCACCATGAGGAGGACGTGCGGCGCATGGACGAGGTGCTGCTCGCCCTGCGCGCCGACCTCAACCGCGCGCTCGCGGCGAGGGCGCAGAGCCAGAAGGAGATGGCACACGCCCACCGTGAGGCGGAGCGGCAGCGCACACAGTTGGAGGACATGCTCGCAGAGGTAGACGCGGCGAAGGAGAAGCTGCGCGATGAGGCGCACTACCGCGAGCAACTCAACAACGAGCTGCAGGGCACCGTGCGGCTCCTCACAGCACGCATTGCCGCACNAGCTGCGCGATGAGGCGCACTACCGCGAGCAACTCAACAACGAGCTGCAGGGCACCGTGCGGCTCCTCACAGCACGCATTGCCGCACACGAGGATGACATCCGCCGGCTGCAGGAGGAACTCGTGGAGGCGAACACGAAGCTGCACGACGCCCACACATTCCTCGGCCGCAAGGACGCGGCGATCGGGCAGCTGAGCGCGCGGCTCCGCGCGTACGAGGCGAGGTCGGGGTCCCCCTCGACGTGAGTAGTGCTCTGGATTGTTCTACTGGCTGAGTCATTATGGCCTACACCTTCTCACGCTGTTGTGTCTATCGCTATATATATATATATACGTATTATATTCATACACACACACACACACAATGAGGTGAGGAAAAATTAACGCAACGGGGGTGTGATGGCCACCGAAGAAGGCGTGGGCATGGAAAGAGCCATGGAGAATGAGAAATGGGAAGAATGGTAGAAAAAAAACAAAACAGCCTACAGGAAAGGATCAGAAAGGCAAGTGGAGACATCTGTAGCATCATTGAGCATCATCCACAACATAGAGAAACTGAGGGATTTAGAAGGCTTCACCAATTATTATTATTTTTTCTCTTTTTTTTTTTT